ACCATAATCGTTTTAATTATAATAACCATGGAAAGTAGACAGTAAACCATATTATTAGTAGTCATAAACAACCATTAAATTGAACGTACTCCAACAATGCTAGTAATCGACAGACTATACTGCCAAATACCCCCTAACTTCCTGATGTTCCTGATATTCTAACATTTACTCGTTTATTTACACATAAAGTAATTTTATTCTTTGTTTCAACTCCACACGGTAACGGATAATACAAAAATATTATTATTCGAACTTCACCCCAATAAAATATTTCGTTTAATTGGAAGTGACTCTGAATGGATTGTGCGTTCCACGTAAAGCAATAACGTTGTATCGTTGTCTCATTGTAAAAGTTATTATCCTATGAACTAACTTACGTTAGCTTTCGTTTCTGCTTAAATTTAAGTTTAATTTTAACTACATATCTTCACCCAGACTGCACATGCAGTTACATCACCAATAATGCCTTCTCCATGCACTATTCACATTGGCATGGTAATTCTATAACACGCCGCTATCACGCATTCATTTCACGTACAACGATATTGCATTAACTGAATAATGGTCTTGTAGCTACGTATCTCCGACCTCTATAAGTAGTTTTTGCAACCTTTTATCAGCCGCTTTAGGTTAGTAGTTTGCAACTTATATTAGTATAGCACACTTACGGACTTGGATTCATTGTAAATCGAACACATATTGTTTGACGTGTAAATGCCGTTCAAATTGAGTTTGAACAATCTTTATTGTGACTGTCATTATACCAGTCTAAAATTCATTGAAGGTAATGGAATATCGTTTCATATAACATTTGCTAACTCTGTTTAAAATCAAGTCACCGGAAGTCATAGCTCATCGACCCAATAAATCGATCCAGTCATCTTCGAGAAATGAATACCTTCAAAATGTCGATAGTCATGTGACTAAGATCATACAACACAATGAACTGAACATGTATTCCTCATTGTACTCAGTTATTGGAACAGAAGCGGCTATTAGCAGCCCACATAACAGTGTTGAGTCGTTAAACGTATGTCTTAAATTGTCCCTATTATTTCCCAGAAAATAATATGGACCGGCATATACTCTTTGTATTTCTATAGTAAGATTTTGAGAGAAAAATATGATCGCTACTTGCACTATTATAATACAGGTGATATACCGGTAAATGGACTCCAGTTAACGCTAATTCCATTATGATCGAAGTTCAGAAGGTCATTTGACATGAATGTTCAATAGAAAAATCAATGGAATAATCATAGTATGAATGTTTAAATTTATTTACAGTTCGTGAAAACAGATTCGTGTGCTATTTGAAGCAATGTGTGCAGATGATTTGTCGTCGCATGCGAAAACGTAGTTAGAGAACAGTCTAATTGTCAATGACATTATTTTTTTCAGACAATGTTTTATTTGACTTTAGTGCTGTGGTTTTGATAGTAAACATATTAATATAATTTAAATAAAGTATTGAAAAAAACTAATACGCATGCGTTTATATATGTATCTATTAATTTGTTTATATATATATATTTTGTATTTCATGACTGAATACTGTTGTTTACAGCCAAGACATTTATTATTTTTGAATTACATCAAAACGCTTCCATCAAGACAATTATAACACAACAATGCAAAAAATAAACTGGTAAGAATGAATTATATTATCGAATTGTGAAATACACATAATATTATAATTGGTCGCGAGGTGTAAAGGATGGACGCGATTTATGTCTGGAGAAAAGTTGTCGCGACGAGATACAAGTCTAGAGAACAAACAAAACCTATCAACGATGACTTACCCTATCATGATAATACGGCTGTAAAAAATAAGAATAATAGGTAGTAAAATTATTGGTCTATCATGATGTTTCGTCCTGTAACGGTCTCATTGCCAGATAATAGCTCCATTCAAAAGTAACATACTCCCGTATATAAAAATCAGGCAGTTATCTAAGCGACTTTGTCAATTGCGTCATGTTGCTCGGTTACAAGAAGATGGTATCCCTGGGCTATACATTACATTTATACGGGTCAATTCACAAAATAAGTTGCAGCCTGACAGCTTTAAACACACGATTGATGACTTTATATTACAATATCCGGTTTTCTCATGATTCCATTATAATAATACATAACAACTGTCAGCCGCCACTATTAATATAATAATATTAATACATAATACATAGAGTGACTCGTTTTTTTTCGTGCTTTCTATGTATTAGTAGTTGTATTTCGTTATCTCGTTCTGTGCAATACTGTTTCTGCATTTGTCTAAGGTTGGATATATATGAAGGAAATCGAGCATGCGTATGTTAATAATATAGAAATAATATACTCCTGGGCAATGATTAATAAGTACATGAAGTAAAATTTGACAGATCTCGTTAAGGAAGTTATGGGCTTACTTATAGGCTGCCTTCGGTCCCGAAATCTCCCTTGTTATCAACCTTGTTCAGGGCCTTAGTGACCCCTTAGACTGAAAGCTGATTTTTTTTGTTTTACAAGCTGGTGAATCATTTACATATATTTTGATTAACATGGGCTCTAAGTGAAGCAGAGTGCTTGAAATAAACTGTTGATTTTGTTATATTTTTCCCATTTTGTTTTATGTCTGCAGTGCATCTATGACCAGAAGACGATATGTAGGTTTCGTTTGCTAAATCCCCTGTT